CAGGAGCGTTTTGTTTCTCTTTGTTTTCGCCGTGGTTACTGAACACACAGTACTTTGCGCCCAGTAGCCCTTTCCAGGACCCTTGGCAGACTGAAGTTGAACTAGTACACGGACATGTAAAAATGGGAAGCATACTAAAGATTTTAGGCAATCACTAGATATTTTCTCACGTACACACTGGTTAGGGCCAGATACACAGCGTATCAAGTTACCGTAACTTTTCTTTCTGTACATTTCAGCATCATGTAGAAATAGCTATCGACCGCATCACATTGCTGAATGAATAGCCCGCGATATTTAATTTTCTCCCTCACCCTTCCCTAAAGAGTACGACCTTAATGGATGCAAAAGTCACAGTGCTAATCCCTGGGAATCGGTAGCCAGCCTGCATGCTGATCATTGACAAAGCTTTTTAGACTAGATTGAAATTAAGTTTGAACTGTGATTAAGTTGAGCATTCCTTCCAGTTTTCTGCTACGTCAATTTCCCCGTCAACTCACAGTGGGAAAAGAGCAGAGAGATGTCTTTCTCAGCACCGAGGTGACGTACACGCGTGTGGTCTGCCCCCAAATCTCACCGACACTCACTCTACTTTGACCAGCGAAATCCATCAACCTGGCTGCAAATCTGTTCGGGACGCCCTCCGCCTGAAATCCGGGACCATGGTGTCGAGTAAGAAATGATGCCCGGACTCTCCACCAGCTCCGTTGTGCTCACAAGACAACGTGTAGGATGCGACATCTTCCATCTGCCCTTGGAACGGTCCTGCGACACGAGCCCCAGTGTCCGGGGCAGGGCAGCCCCTGACCCGCCGTCCTGTCCCCCTGCAGGAGGACTAGCTCTCCCTCCACCCCATCCCGATTCCTGTTCCCATCTGGACCTGAAGACCCCGCCTGACCCAGCACGAGAATGCCATCAGCAAGAACGTCCACAGAGCAGGCCCAGGAAAATACTGGAGCGACAGGGCTGAACTCTGAAGTTTTAAAAGTCAGACGCTCTCCCCAGGCTAGAAGTAAAATGGGAGATGAGAGAAGAAGCCGGGGAACGGGGCACATCTGCGAACACGAGACCCAATTCCGACAGAGTCGTCTGACGGCCTCCATCTGACTGTGTGTGTGTCTGACCAGGGGTTTGATCTCATGTCTCTTCCTCCTCTGTCCTCTCTTCCTGAATGGTTTCTCCTCCTCCTCCTCTTTTATTATAATCTGCAGTTTTGCCCCCAAACACCTATTCCTTTTCCAGTGCTGCTAAGACATCAGACATGGATCGCGGGGAAATTCCTCAGACGTGCTCTAGGCTCCAAAGGCAGGTAGTGCCCGGACCGGTAAACACACACAATAACACCGCCACCAACGGCCGACGGAAAGGGTACGTGAAAAGTGCCAAGGAAGGAGGGCGAGACGTGTCGCATCTCAGCGGCGGTTCTTTGCAGCAGGAGTGATAAAAGAGAGCATTGGAGAGGAAACAGGATTTGCTCAGAGCCTCCACAGTCTTGAGGAAGCAGAGGGCCTGGTGTCGAAACGCCCTGATGCTCACACTATTTACATCTGTCATAAAAGAGAAAGAGAAAAGGATCCCTACCCCCCACCCAGGTCCAGCTCCTCGCTGTCCATGGGCCCCGCGGTCTGGCCAGGAGTTTAGAATGTACCCCAGAGGACACGAGAAGAGATCAGCCGACGCCCCCCTTTTGTTTTATATTCCGCCGGAGACCAAGGGAAGAAATGAACGAGACTTCGGATGAATTCAGAACCTATTCCAATCCTCCGGGGAAAACCAGTGAGGCTTGAATTAAGGGGGTGGCGAAGAAGAGGAAGAGGAAGATTGGAGAAATTGTTAAAAACTAAAATCACAGAACTCGGGGAGCATCGAAACACATATTTCAGATTGTATTTTTTTTTTTTTGTAGCAAACACAAAGCAAGATTAAATTTAGAAAAGAAAGTAGTTCCGCACCGCAGTGAATCTGAGACAGTGAACCAGGATCATAAATAAGCGTCAGTGATGGTAACCAGCCCCCAGGGTAGGAAATTCAAAGGAAAATGGCCAAGAGTGGAAGCCCCCAGAACCCTAATTTTTAAAAGGAGACAAATACAGAGAGTCAGTAAGTAGATGACAGACTGATATAGAAAACTCTCTATAAACATATATTTATAATATGGAGCCAGCACGTATAACTCACACTGAGCCAACTCAAGCTCTCCATCCTGACCCTGTGTTTACACCGAACAAGAGAGAAAAAGAGAAAAAAGACCCCTAATCCCACCTTACCTAGCTGCTAACAAAATTCACTTTCAATTCTAGCTCTGATAAGGGTCCCAGGCAGGTTTTTATTACAAAAATACTTAAAAACGATTTTTGAAAATCATACACCCCCAAACCTCCACATTGTATTTAGAACTTCACAGTATCACTTGTCAAATTGAAAGTATACCTTGTGTCTAACAGAGCTCACATTTGTCAAGGGAGACAGTTCCTGTCCATGTCGATGGAAAAAATGCAGAATTGCGTCCAGGAAATGAATCTCCACTGTTATGACTCAGAGCTCACACTCCGAGCTGCGCTCTCGAAACCAGCCTGGGCCCTTGGAGCTACTTAGACATTTCAGACATTGTTTTGGTTTCCAGTTTTCATGGCAAAGACACAGGCCAGAGAGATAACAAACTTCTGTGCAAAGCTCAAGCCCGTGTTGCTGTCAGCCCGACGAAGTTTCACTTTGCTGTATTTTAGAGATGAAATACATTTGAACCGGGCCCATGTTTATCTAGCAACGTCTCTCTCCATTTGGTCTGCTTCTTTGTGCCTGTAGAGTATGCAGTATGAATTTGATACCCAAAGGTGTAACATTTCCTACAAACTCTAACCTCAGATGGAACACGTCGAAATAAAACACAACCCTACAAACTCTAACCTCAGATGGAACATGTCGAAATAAAACACAACCCAACTCATTCATTGTTGATAAAGAAATATATATAATTTAAAGCATTAACAACTTCCCAAATAATACACCAAATCACAAAAAATCTCTCAGAACCTAAAAGCATGATAAACAAGATTTGCAGACACAGATGATTATAGCTATATATATATTTTTCCCCCCAAAACTAAGTATCTATTTCAGGAAGACTATCCACACTTTAAAAAAAAAAAAAGTTTGCTCTCACTATTTATGTGAACAATTGAAGCTACACTTGGACTTTCACAATAAATTTATGGGGATCTAGTCATTCATTTCTAGTGTAAGTTTTCAGCAGAATTGATTCAAAGGTTTTTAGATAAGTTTATCCTCCTAATGGGGTCGTCCCAGAGATGTGGAAGTGGGGTACAGACTGACACTCCCCAGAAGAGGGGGTGGTGGGGGAGAGATAAACCACAGAACTTATATGCATGTGTGCATGAACAATGGACATGGACAACAAAGCTGGGGACATGGCGGGGGGGAGGGAATCAATGGTGGGAAAAGGAGAAACATCTGTAACAAAAATAAATTAATTAAAAAAGGAAAACGGAAGTTTATCCTCCTGTTTTGATCACAAATTCAAAGATGTTTCTCGTGGTAAAAACCCTAATAGACTGAGCTGAAATGTTTAGGTTGGTTTGCTCTGTGGCCAGGCGAATATTCCTGTATTTCTCAAGCCCTGTGTTAATGCTCCGCGACCATTCCTGCGTGGGACTTGTAAATGGAAATATGCTCTGATCTTCATGCTACATGTATGATCACACTGGTAAAATGATTCTTCCTTACCATTTGCTGTGGACTGTGATGAGCCACTTTAGAAGGAGGGTGACTCGTGAGCATTCTGGGTCAGACAAAATGCTGTACTTCTGTACAAGCTCTTCAACCTGTCTTTGCCGTTTAAAAAACGCACACTCTCTCGTTCTGCTCTCCACTGCCCTCGGTTAGACAAGAGGGACCCTGACCATCTAATGCTCAGGAGGTAGCGGCTGCCCAGCCTCTTAGAGGCAAGGAGAGCGGCAGAAAGACAAAAAAAAAAAAAAAAAGATTTCGAAGTGAATACCGACAAGCAGGATTTTTTAAAAATAATTATCCATTTTTTAAACTTACTTATTTGGAATTTCTACAAAAATACCATTTCAAGGTCCTTTCAACAACCAAAAAACCAGCTTTGGAGACTCCATCATAAAGAGCAATATGAAACATCAATTTGGTAGCTGCATTTAATAGTCAACCGAAATGTACTCATGACCCGAACTGAAACTATTCAAAAGGTGTTCCTTCTTTAGACCAGAAGTGCACCGAGGTCTCAAACTTTAAAAGTTTGTAACTACAGCCCCAGTAGTTACAAAGTTCTGATTGTTGAGTTGCTACATTGTTATCTCATGGAGGCTGGATCATCGACCCATCACCCAGGAAGGGCGGTGGCCCCGTCAGAATTTTTAAAGCAAGTATGAACTCTACCAGTAAGAAACCAAAACCTTGATTTCAAATACGTTCTGGAAAGAATTGGCAAAAATGAGTATTTTCTTAAATAGCCAAGTGTGTTATTTTACCTCGCATACAGCAAAACATTTAATGAAGTCTATGGCTATTAATCCGAATTTGAGGAAGCACCCTCCTGGCCCGGAAAGAGGGGTCGTTACACGCAGCCAAGGGTGTATTACGACTCAAAGAAATTCATTTCTTGTGTAAAGGAGAAAAATTCACTTAAATTAAAATGTACTTAGACCTCACGTGTACTGTGAAGGGCTAAGGAACAGTTGCTTTGGGAATGCCCTCCACGAGTTTGTGAACAAAGACACACGTAGACAAGGTCTTTCTTTTACATTGCAATTTCCCCCCAAACACTTGTGCCTTTTGGAGTAGAAATGAGGTGTTCTGTCCCCAGCAAGCCGGGTCTGCCCAGCGAGAGTAGCTTGGACAGTGTTTCAGCGGCTTGTCGACTTCCGCTCGCCAGCCCTCTGTCTTTTCATGCCTATTTCCAACCAAGCTCTCTCCACAAGCAAGAACGAGGGAAGGAAACAATAACGCCGCGTTCTTACCTTGCCCGAAAATTCCTATGTCCAGAAAGACGCAGCCAAATGCCAGAAGCTGAAGCCACAGGTACATGGTCATATCTTGAAATCGGCCGTAACCCTACGAAACAGCATGCGTCCTTCTGAAAAGGCAAAATAATGGTTATCTCGGTGCAAGGTGTTCTCCCTGGAACCCGAGGAAAAATAAGAAATAGGAGTGCGTACTCGTCTCTGATGTCTTATCAGACAGGGAGCAATTTCCTCCTCCTGATACCCTAAGAAACCACCCGCCAGCTACACGAACTGCTAGGCAGTGATGTCAGATTCGGTTTTACTAACTTCTCCAAAAATACAGTGCAAGGTCCTCTTTGCAGGAAGTCAAGAAAGTTGTTCAAAGTCAGTGCAAAGGCATCTACTTCCTTAATTCAAGCAATTAGACTAAGTCAGTAGGCCTTTTGAAAGAGTTTTCCCTCCAGGAAGGTGGCTTTTAAGCATCCAAGTAGCATTCCCTGACAATATTCATCACTGGTTAAAAAATACCATCGCCTCCCCCAAATCACCAACACTTCTCTTATCTAAGAGATGATCATAGAGATTCAGCATGGGGGGACGGCGGTAAGAGGAGCCACTAATTGGACTAGTAGGCAGTGCCTCTTCTTGGCTTTCAATGGCCAAATGAATGAATAAGCAGTGACCTATCTGGCTCTTTCTGGCAATTGTCATCACACACCATTAGGACATGGAAACCCAGACACGTGACAGTTCGGACAGTCAAACCATTTCCTAGGCAACGAGAGGAACAGATTCGCCCCAAATCTCCCACTGAGACCCTGGTGGGACCAGGACTGAAGTCCGAGGGCACTTCCACACAGCAAATCCCCGTGATGGCCTCCGTGATCTGAGGTCGTCCTGGTGCTGTTGACAAGGGAAAAAAATTGCAAAGTCAAGATCTGTCTTGACAACCGTTAACCCCTTTTCTCCCTCAGCAACGCTCCTCAACCGTTTTCACGGAGAGACAACAAATGGGCAGGCAGCGCGCCATGGTTCCGACGGGGACCTCCGTGCCTCCATCAGCGAGTGTTCTGGCAACGGGCCCCTATGAGTTTGGCAGGACAACTATGTGCGTTTTCATACTAGCTTACTCGTTTACACATAACAGTTCATGCACACGTAAGGCATGATTATTCGAACTGTATTATTCTAGACAGACCGAGCCCTTGCAGGAATTCCCTAATCCCAAGTCAGGGACCACATTGTGCGATTCTCGTACTTAAGTAAATACATCTTCGAATGTTGACAAACTTGTTTTACTCTTATTTTGGCTGCTACGATCCACTCAGTCAAATCTACACACACACACACACACACACACACACACACACCCTTTGTGCAAACAGAAGTATTCCCACATCTTAAATTCTGGACAATGACATTACAATGAGATTGTTGTAATGATTATGACTTTCTGATGATGATTACGACCCTGGCTGTTACCACGGCCAGGACTATGCCTAGCCCTGTACTTGCCTAACCTGACTTACACCCCAGTGTTTGAGACAGATAATGTCATTGTCCCTCATTCCATCGATGACGTTCAGAGTTACACACTAGAATGGGAACCAGACAGAAGCACTCGGGAATGCGGAGTGGGGTCCATCCCCACCAGCCGCTCCGTAGCCAGCAGTGAAAACAGACTTGTAAACACACGATTAAAATGCAGTGTGAGGAAGGGTAGTGGCCTGGAGGAGGAAGTGATCAGCTCCGCCTGAGTGGCCAGTGGGGGTGCACGGAGGGGCCCTGAGCTGGGGGCTGGGGGGAGGGGCAGCAGGTGGAGCAGCAGGAGGTTCCCTAAAACACCTTGTCTGAGGAAGCAAATGCTGGGTTCACAGCATCACAGGGCAGAGGAAGGGGTGTCCTCAGACCAGGACAGGCCTAGGGTGGGCTTGTGATGGGTTCGATTTCAGCCTGGAGGCGGGCTCAACAGTGCAGGGCCAGCAGGGAGGAACGTCTCTTCTTGGCAGGGCATCCCGTCATAGCGCGGGCGACCGAGTGGAGGGACCGTCATTGGCACCGGGATGAAGGGCAGCCAGGAGGCAGGTGACAGGACCCGGGAGCACAGAGACTAAAGGCGCCTGGTTGGCACAGGGGCTGTGGGTCGGAGGGGCCGCTGGGCATGTCTGCTCCTGGGGTTCACACCGTTAGACCACCACCCTGGTGGAGCTGGGAAGGAGCGAGGGTCTCTCCATTTCCACTCGGTGTCAACTTCTCTTGTGTGTCTCACTCATGCTTCCTTCTCGGCCACCAACTCATTGCCATTGTCCCTCAGAAAACAATGAAGAAATTAACAAAACCGGGAACAGAGGCAGAGAATAAGCGGATGGCTCCCGAAGGAAAAGGGGGGGTGGGGATGGTAAAAACAATAAACTTAAAATCACAATAATAAAACATAAGTTGGTAAGATCTCATTTCTTTAAAATGTCATCTTCCTAGCCATGCCCTTTCTGAGCATGTCGGGGAACATTCTCATGCGCCCCGGCCCGGCCCCTCCCGCCCCTGCAGCGCGCGGTGGCGCGACCCGGAGGAGCGGGGTGAGCCCGTGCGGAAGGCAGCCCTGCGCAGCCCCCTGCAGCCTCCACGTGGCCCCCGCACGTGGGTAGGAAGTGGCACCTGGTCTGGGAGAGGCAAACAGCTAGCGGGGGGCGGGCTGTCACACTTCGCGGCCCTGCGTCCCTGTGATGTGGGCGGAGACGAGCGCAGCCCTGCTCAGGGCCCCCCAGCGGGGCTGCAGCTGCGAAGCCGGGCCCGGGGCCCTGAGGGCGGACACTGGGCGTCACGGAGCCACGGCGGTGGCCGTAGGCTGGGCACCCACTGCGACAGCAGGACCGCGGCCCCCGCCGCACGGTGGCCTGCCTCCGGGGCCAGCTCTGGGAGCCGGGGCGGGAGCTGGGCCACCTCCTCTGTGAGAACACGCCACCCCCACTCCGCGGCGGGGGCAGGGGGGGCCGGAAGCGCCCACAGGAAGCCTGTGGCTCCCTCCAGAACATGCTCGCAGCTGAGCCTCCTCTGCTCCCTGCACAGCCGCGGGCCTTCCGTGCGCTCCTGTCCCCGGGCGGAACGGAGGGGAGCTTGGGCAGAGGGAGCAGCGGGCTGGGGTGCAGGCACAGGCTGTCCTCAGTGGGGGCCTGAGCTCCTAGGTCCAGAGCCCGCGTGGTGGCGTGGAGGCCACCCGTGTGCTTTCACATGTCAGCGGAAGTATTGGCATGTCTGCGGCAGGCGTGCTGGGAACTTCAGCTCCCCCTTCACACTTCCCTGCCCCTCCCGGTGCATCCATCCATCCATCTCAGTCTGACAAGACCGTCCTCGTTTAAACAATGTGTGATCCGACTCCCCTAGAATGGATGGATGTGCGATCCGACTCCCCTAGAATGGATGGATGTGCGATCCGACTCCCCTAGAATGGATGGATGTGCGATCCGACACCCCTAGAATGGATGGATGTGCGATCCGACTCCCCTAGAATGGATGGATGTGCGATCCGACTCCCCTAGAATGGATGGATGTGTGATCCGACTCCCCTAGAATGGATGGATGTGTGATCCGACTCCCCTAGAATGGATGGATGTGTGATCCGACTCCCCTAGAATGGATGGATGTGCGATCCGACTCCCCTAGAATGGATGGATGTGCGATCCGACTCCCCTAGAATGGATGGATGTGTGATCCGACTCCCCTAGAATGGATGGATGTATGATCCGACACCCCTAGAATGGATGTGTGATCCGACTCCCCTAGAATGGATGGATGTGTGATCCGACACCCCTAGAATGCATATATGATCCGACACCCCTAGAATAGATGTATGATCCGACACCCCTAGAATGATGTATGATCCGACACCCCTAGAATGGATGTATGATCTGACACCCCTAGAATAGATGGATGTGTGATCCAACTCCCCTAGAATGGATGGATGTATGATCCGACTCCCCTAGAATAGATGGATGTGTGATCCGACTCCCCTAGAATGGATGTATGATCCGACACCCCTAGAATGGATGGATGTGTGATCTGGCTCCCCTAGAATGGATGTGTGATATGACACCCCTAGAATGAATGTGTGATCTGACACCCCTAGAATCGATGGATGTATGATCCGACACCCCTAGAATGGATGTGTGATCTGACACCCCTAGAATCGATGGATGTATGATCCGACACCCTACAATGGACGTGTGATTCGACACCTCTAGAATGAGGACACCCAGGAACACAGGAGCGAGTGGAGAGAGGCCTTCCTTGTTACTGGGACTCTTGTTAACTATAAAATAGTAAACTGATGATTGAACAAAAGGGGGGAGGGGGTGAATAGGCCTGGATCCATGACCAAACTATCTGCTTCAGTACATTATGAAAGTATTATTTTAATTTTATTCACCAGATTAAAGACGGCTGGAGGAATTCGACTCGTTCGAAGACAGGCATCCCTGGGGTCCCCAGAGACACCGGTGAAGAAGACTATTGGAAGCCAGCTCTTCTGTTGTCGTTTGTGTGACCCCTGTTTCTTTGAAACACAAGAACCAGGGGCCCCCGTGCCATGTTCAAGGCCAGCGATGCAGGGCCCGGAGTCCGTGTCAATGGTTCCGACAGGGTGTCAGTGAACGGGGCGTCAGTGAACGGGGCATCAGCAAACGGGGCATCAGTGAATGCGGTGTCAGTGAATGCAGTGTCAGTGAACCGGGTGTCAGTGAACCAGGTGTCAGTGAATGCAGTGTCAGCGAACTGGGTGTCAGTGAATCAGGTGTCAGTGAATGCAGTGTCAGCGAACTGGGTGTCAGTGAATCAGGTGTCAGTGAACGGGGCGTCAGTGAATGCGGTGTCAGTGAATGCAGTGTCAGTGAACAGGGCGTCAGTGAACAGGGCGTCAGTGAATGCGGTGTCAGTGAACTGGGTGTCAGTGAACTGGGTGTCAGTGAACAGGGCGTCAGTGAATGCAGTGTCAGTGAACTGGGTGTCAGTGAACCGGGTGTCAGTGAATGGGGCGTCAGTGAACCAGGAGTCAGTGAACCAGGCATCAGTGAACCGGGCGTTAATGAACCGGGCGTCAGCGAACAGGGCGTCAGTGAGCGGGGCATCAGTGAGCGGGGTGTCAGTGAACGGGGCATCAGTGAGCGGGGTGTCAGTGAACGGGGCGTCAGTGAGTGGGGTGTCAGTGAATGGGGCTCTCTGATGAGGATGGAGCATCAGTGAATGCGGTGTCAGTGAAAGGGGTGTCAGTGAACAGGGCGTCAGTGAACCGGGCGTCAGCGAACAGGGCATCAGTGAGTGCGGTGTCAGTGAGCGGGGCATCAGTGAGCGGGGTGTCAGTGAAAGGGGCGTCAGTGAGTGGGGTGTCAGTGTACGGGGCATCAGTGAGTGGGGCGTCAGTGAGCGGGGCATCAGTGAGTGGGGTGTCAGTGAATGGGGCTCTTTGATGAGGATGGGGCGTCAGTGAATGTGGTGTCAGTGAACGGGGCGTCAGTGAGCGGGGCATCAGTGAGCGGGGTGTCAGTGAGCGGGGCATCAGTGAGTGGGGTGTCAGTAAATGGGGCTCTTTG